AGGTGGACAAAAAGCTGTATGTAAGCTGTAATAATTGCATGTATACTGTAAACAAGAGAATTCAATACACACCTGTTGCCCTGCTTTTTTCTCGGACTCACGCCGGCGTCATAAAATGTAATAACTCATTAATTCTAACGTATATATAAATTGTAATAATTATACGCTAGCAAATAATCGAACTAAACTTCTATAAGGTAGTAGGGTACTACATTATACTATTGGTACTATTATACACAGAGAAATTGTTATTTGTATATTCATCATATAAAACTCATTCTTAATAATATTGTTGGTGTAGATAATTACCAAGTAATTACTTAAACCTAATTAAGTTCTAAAGTTTAGATTTGTTACCAAAATTAAAGGTTGGGGTATTTTCAAACCCTATTTTAACTTGACTATAAATCAATATTTTTATCCTTATAGGCACCTATTGGAGATTAAATATTATATAATGTTGATAAATATACCTATTATTATTTATTAGCTATATTTAATTATTTTCTTTCGCTTAAATAATTGTATTATTATTATGTCTGCAATAATTTCATGTTTATTGTTTATGCTAATTAAAAAATGTAATTATTTAACTACCTAATTAAATGGCACAATTATTATTACCATTATTATTATCATTATTTAACATAAGGTATTTACCTAAAAATTTCCTCACTCACACCCGTAAATGCATTTGTATCACTATTTAAATTTTTATAACATTTATTTATAATAAATAATATTCAATGTATATATTGTAAATACAGCATTTATTTGCAAATAATTTAAAAATATGTACTAAAGATATATACGAATTATTTTTTAACCAATTATGTATGATGTTCACAGTCTTTCATTTTATATATTTATTAATAAGTATGCTGACCAATGTATTTATTTATGAAATAATTATACTTTCAATTTAGATCATAATTTATGTCTTTTTCGAGTTAAATGTGTGATCGTTGTGACATTGTCCAATGTTCAGTTTATTGATAAAATGTGTTTACAACATAATACTCCCCAAGGACTAATACATAATGTGGGTTTATCTTGGTTTCTTTCTCGGCGGGGTAGTGTCATCGACATTGGGACTTCTTGGGAAGAGCGTGGCTGTCGCTGTTGACGGGCAATTTGACGGCTTTTGTTGAAATGCAACAATTTTGTAGAGGTTTATTTAATAGCATAATTATTGATAGGTTCACTGATAAAAACATAATATTATTAAGTGTTATTATAAGGGCGTGTGGTATAATCTGGTATACCTAATAATAATATGTTTAAGCTGATATTTTTTTTCCACAGATAGTTTATCGGTTTCAGTAATTCTTATTCAAGTACATATTATTATCATGTGCAATTCAATATTATGTAAATAACACGTAGGGATATAAACGAATCTCCGTCTTGCCCAGTGTAGGGTGTATCAAATTTGTGAAAAAAGAGTAAATAGAGTGTAAAACTATTTTTTTTTGATTTAGGAAAATAAACGTACCTATGCGTGTCTAATTTATAGTAAAAGAAAACCCAACGCGGGAATGGAGAATCGTTAAAAAACTATTTTCTCTCATTCGTATAATACGGGTCAATGGCCGCCACCCTCTTTGTGTGCACCGTTCTTCTCGTCATCATATATACAATTATTACATTATCCTCACCATATTTCATAAACGGGGTTATAAAGCACATACGGCAATAATGCAATGCAAGTAATCTTGTTTTTTTTTCTTTAGTTCTCACTCGTAGTTTTTAATCAGTTTAAATTATCATATTGTAATCAGCTAAATAAAATCGTTTGTTGTTTTCGTTTATGTGAAATGCAAAAAATTAGATAGCCAAAGGTATACCTAACGTTATATTAAAGTATTTAACAGATTATACATGATTAAACAGTTCGAAGGGACACCTATTGTAATTTGTTGGTGACAGCTGCAGGGTCGGACTGGCCCGGACCGCAGGTCCGCGATGGCGGACTTGGCCCCCAGCTAGTTTGGGCCCCCAAACTTCATATTCATAAATATAAAATTAAATTAAAATAAGATTACCATTTATAGTAACTGTATTTAAACATGTCTTAATATTTTAAAGGGCTCCTTATTAATTTTAATAATTTACAAAATAAAATTAATATTATTAACGTTTATCTAACAACTGAATCGTAATTCAGTATTAACATTATAAATTATAATAATAATTATCTTCTGGGTCACAATTTGCTTTACAGTTTAATTCTATTACTAAAACTTTTGAAGCTACTTTCACATATTTAACTGAAGACTCCCAATTTCCTATTTATGAACATGAACTAGATTTAGACGAAGATCAAGCATCTGTAATTGATCCATCCAATAATTGTAAAACATGCAATAACTGTTTACGTTGTGCTTTCAATGTGTTACATAATATAGTTCAACAGTCTGGTTGTTTTAACAATATATATTATGCATATAAATTTGTATTAACGTTGCCATGTACCCAAGTTACTTGTGAAAGAACCTTTTCCAAATTAAAAAATATCAAAACAAAACTAAGATCAAGTATTTCCCAAGAAACAATGGAAGCATTGTTATTGATGAATATAGAAAGAAATGTTGAAATTGATAAAGAAAGTGTAATTGATTCTATTGGAAAGAGTTCTAATGAACTTTCAAAACTTTTGTTAAATTGAATTGTAATTTATTTAAGTTTTTAAATTATTTACATTTAAATGTTTATTATCATGTTATGCACCTATGTATTGTTTCATATTTGTTAAAGTCAAACAAATTGTTATAAATAAAAGTATGTGTGTAAAATATTACACTTTTATCTAAAATGTTTATCATTATAATCAGGGGCGTCATTTCAGTTTTTTTTCCGGGTGTGCGAACTTTTAGGCAGGCCAATTTTGACATTTCACCAGGCCATTAAAAAAAAATGTATATACATACATATAGGTAACCCATGCAAACCTATGTAAATATTTTTTTCTTCCCTTTTATAATTCTAATTGAAATTACTTATAACGACTAATGCAAATTTTAAATACCTAGCTAGCAATTTAAAGAATTAAAAGCTTATAAACAATAAAAGCAAGCAGCTAAAGCCATTTCACTATTATTTGAAAAAAAGTCAAATAAGGTATTATGAAATACACTTAATTTCCAAAATTAAAAATCATTAATACAAAATATAAAAATATAAATTATTTTTAAATTTAAATTAGCGGATATCTGCGGGTTTTAATGTGTGCAAAAGCATTTACAGCCTCTTGCAAATCAATATTACTTGCTTCTTCCTTCTCAACTGCAATAACCATAAGATCATTTTTAATCTATTGTCGCCCATGGTGGTTCGTAAATATGTTTTTACTCTTTTGAGAGATGAAAAAAATCTTTCATTTGAAGCAGCGGATATTGGTAGTGTTTTTATTATAGAAATAATTTTTAAAGTTTCGCTAAATGCTTCGGGATAATCTTTAAGACATACTGTTATAGTATCTAAATCTATATTGTTTTTATTAGTTAATAACGTTTTAGCGGACGGAAATTCTGAATCAATTTTAATTTTGTTAAATTGAAAATAACTATAATGATTTATAAATGATGATATATATGGACTATTAGGATTGAAAAAATTATTGTTAGAACTGTCAAAAACTTCAAATAACTTAAAAAAATCTGTAGCTTGTTGGGAAAATCTCTCATCCAGTTGCAAAACAAACCTGAAAATAATTATAATTTATAACTAACAAGCAAAGCATATTATTTAGAATTAACCAAATTGTATACTAATTAAATATTTTTTAAACAATGAACTTGAGTTATATTCTAAAATAATAAATAGTACTAATAATATGTACTTGAAAAAATATTAACTGATAAACCAAAAATAAACAAAAACTTAAAATATTATTTTATTTATATTAAAATGAAAATTATGAAAACATGATGTATAAGTTAATTTTAACGGCGCATTGAAGTATTAATGGCGGGCCAGTCAGTAACATTTTTTAAGTTAGTGGTGCCGTTGCACACCCTGCCCCCCCCCTAAATGACGCCCCTGATTATAATGTGTTTTTTTTTATTACATATAATTGTTATCTTATTTAAATACAAAAATGGAGAAGTAGAGAGCGGACTAACAATTTATAGTCCAACTTTAGTAAGGCAGTAAGGGCCCTTTCATCAGATCGCAGACTGGGTCTTTTGTTGCCAGTCCGACCCTGGACAGCTGGTAAAATCTCAAACTTCGGTAGTCGGGTCATAGGCTAGACGAACTTTTTTACTTCCATGACTTTCCAATTCGAATACAATTATTATATGATTATGATATTTTATTATAATTTTATAAATGGGGAAAATAAAGCATTCTAAAATTAAAATATTAAGATTAACTGTATACGTAATAATAGAATAAATAATTACAAGCGTATACAAAATAAGTTCTCATCATGACAGCACCATCACTAATAATAATTACTTATTTTATTAAATACTCATATTTTGCACATTAAAGTAAATATCATAATTCATAATAAATTAAAACCGAAATATAGAATGTTTATTATAGTTAATTATTCATTAATAATTATAAAATATACTATACATTACAAAAATCTATATAATCGATGATATTGTGAATAAAATGTCTTTGGATATTATTGTTCTGGCAGATAGCATACGGCACGGCTAGCTACAACTGACATCTGTTTACTCAAATCTTATATTCAAATTTCAAAAAACCACTTGTCCTCGAGTGCAGAACAAGTGAAGACTTTTATTGGAATCGCGATTTCGTTATATTTCTTGTCTTCTTGCAGGCAATGGTTATTTGTCCGTAAAACCGTTTATCGTGTTTACAAATCTGACTGTACCCCATTAAACTTCGTGTAAACTTTGCTTTTGTATGCAAGTTGAATCGTGAACATTTTAATTGTTAATGTAAAATGCATTATACTTTCGACTTTCAATACTTACGAAATAATTGTATTAACGATGATAAAAAAAAAATCATCGGTCTTACATAATGACGGGGAAGCGCATAATAATAATAATAATAATATATTGGTTTTCCCGTTCGTTAAATTCAGGGACGTTAGGGAAAAGAGGGAACGCCGCCGCCGCATCCGACGCGGAAACTTGATCGTCCACCGTCATCGCGTCGGGTCGTATTTTCTCGTCCCCCTCCCCGCCCTTCCCAAACACGTGACAGCTACGTCGGCGGTGGTGCGGTGGTGCCGGAGGAGATATTATATTATTATATTCCTCTTCCCTCTCCGACCGTCCCGCCTTGTGGTGTGCGACACGTCCATTGTCTTTCTCTTGCGCGGCGAACACGGACGGTGCATGCGGATTTACGCGGGTGTTCCCCAGATACATTTCGCTACGACAAAAGAATATAATACTGTAAAAATGTAACGATGCCCGAACTTTTTTTCCCGAAATCGTAATTCTGCTGTCGTTGTCGTTCCCCTTAATCATAATAATGGTGTACTGCATTGGAGCAAACGATAGGAATGTTTTTACGGGGAACGAATTTACGAAATTTAGAAATCGGTCAACAGATATTCGAATTTTCAAATGTGAATCCTGCGCAGTTGGCATTTTGATTAAACACAATATATCATTATTATTAATCGAGTGCCGGTGTAACCGCGAAAATTTACCTCAGTGATATTTTACCCCACTAAGGTAAAGTATCACTAGCGATTATTTACCTCCGGTAAAATTTCGCTAGGTATATTTAACCCAGTAAATATTCACTAGGGATATTAATCTATATTTACCTCCAGAACAATTTTGCTAGTGAACATTAACCCCCTGTTAAATTTCTCTAGTGAATATTTACCGGGGGGGGGGGGGGGGTAAAATTTAACTGGGTCAAAATACACGGTTCCACCCCACCGTCAATACCAAACCGAATGATTAAACATATCCGAAAACCCTGACACCTCTAAACCTCTTTTGGACCGAACATGATGAACATTCAAATCATCATACAATTCCTAAAACTCACCAACTTATTCAACATAATTTTATACTTAGGTACCGTACAAAAAAAAATTACTCATCTAATATTATAAAATATTTCATACATTTTATTTTTTCTCATGATTTTGTATTATTTGCTTATAAGTACTTAACCACATTTGGTTTAATATTGTAAATATTTACTTGACACTGTCACAAAACCAATAATTGGCCTTTTGCCGCTGATGTTTTTTTCAAGAACAATAAAAAAAAATATAAAAGAAGATATTATAATTTATAAATAGATAAATATTCGAATTATCGAATGGTCATTGAAACTTAATAATTTAGTATTATGCTACAAATTATAATATTGTGCCTCAACGAGGTTTTCAGGTCGGCACTGGGAATGGGGAATTACAATGACTCCGCGAACATAATAAATAATGATACGTTGGAAAATGTATTTTATCGTTAATGATTCATTACTTTTCGTGGTAAACAAATCGTTAACGTATTTTTACAAGTCCGTAAAAAAACAAACATTTTGCTTGAACTCTATATTTTAATAAACCGTATTAACTGCATATGGACATCGCACAATATGCAAAAGTCCAACGAGGAAAAAACCATATTTTAAATATAAGGGCCGTTTCACATAGACTCGTATCGTACACGTTCGTTTCGGTTTACATTGGTTTCTCATACGTGTCACTCCGACGATGAAAAAGCACTCGTACGATACGCTCGTCCATGTGAAACGGGCCTTGTTTTTAGCCTTTTATTTTAGCGTGTAACATGTTCAATCTTCAATAGGTATATTAGTCTTCCAATTTGCAATTATTATATGATATAACTGATAATGTTTAACGCAGCCCAATACGTCTAGACACTAAAATTATTTTATAAGTACATATTATTATAATATATTATAATTTATAATATTATGTTTACATAGAATTTAAAGTAATTCAAATTTTTCGTTGACTCCGTATCTTTTGAATAATACGCTACGACAATATTTATAATGATATTAATGTCCCAAATACGATTATAATTTTAGGTATACGACAATTATTTATTTATACATTTATAACATTGGTCACTGGCCGCGATATCTCGGCGGTGATGCTATTATTATAGTTACTCCAGTCTCCCCTATATAGCTGTACAAATTTCGATGCGTTGAAAACCATGAACGAGTTATTGGTAAATGGTAACGTATGTACTTGTTTATATATCAATATATGTTGTACCTATGTAAATATGTAATGTGTATGCAGTCAATATGAAGTGTAGACGATGAATATCGCTCACGACTAATGTTCAAGGACGCGCGACGCGGCAGGGCGGCATCATAGTCTGTGGCCTACATAATATTATAGACTCCGCCGCGACCGCATTGTAAAACATCCGTTTCGGTGGCGTGTGCGCGCGACGCCAACTGCAACGATCCACCGACTGCAACGTCTTATTAATATTAGCGATGCAGTTCGGAGTGTTGGGCAAAAAAACTGCGATTAATCGATAATAAATTAAAGTGCATAAATCTTATATCTCACACCGACGCCATGCCGACGCGCGTTTGTCGGAAGAATTTATATTTATAATTAAAAAATGCTGTTGAGTTTATTAATTTGTCGTCGCTGTACCTATATTAAGTATTTACATAAATATACATATAATCAGTATTTATAAATAATTAATAATATATAATATTATTATCTAAAATAATTATATTCATGGTGATTCCGTCTTTAATGCCCGTATACTCCTAAAAATTATATTTATTTTTTAAATAATATATTTAAAAAATTTAATTTATGTTATGATAATAATAATGTAAATAAATTAAAAATTTAACGGATGCCAAAATTTTCAATGGAAACAAAATTAGTTTTAATATGCCTATAACCCATACATACACTGAATACTTGAATCGCGATCAATGTTTCCTTTTCTAACGCCAGCTGTGATGATTAACCTTTACCTCGAGATACCAATATTATGTGTTCAGACATATAACGATCGAAACGTCAGCCCAAAAGGCCAAACATTACACTACGTACTTATACTATACAAGACCAGTGGTCTTCAACCAGTGGGTTGCGACCTACTTTTGGTGACTTCAGAACTGAGTCGTAATATACTTTTAATAATTTAAAATGAATATTATTCAATTGTAAGGAGCAACTAAAATAAACATAGGTACCTATTCACAATAATATAATCCTCAATTAATTAAAAATTGTATACGCAGTATAGCGTTAGCCATGAAAACTAATCAAATTGACTTCAGTTTGATAATCGACAAATAAAAACTAAATGTATTGCAATTCAGTATGAAAATATTTTTTGTCAACTATAAAAATATTTTTGTCTAGGATTTCATTGATACCACTTTCATTAAAAAAAAAAACATTTATTCATTGTATCCATAAACAATGAATGATAATTTCCTAAAAATACGTAGAAAAAATATGCTTTTGTTCTCGTTACTTATAACATTGTTTACATATGCTGCGGTAAACGTGATATTTATTTTATTTTTTTGTATACTTGAAATTTTAAAACCAAATTGATATTAGTACTATTTAGTATTTACTACTGGTGTTTACTATTGATACTATTTGGTAGTACAATCATTTCGAGGTCAAGATTGTTAAAACGCATCACCGAATTAATTGTTGTTGTTTTTTTTAATATCATTGCCTTTTACCTTTTAATCTCATATTCAGCCCATGTACGAGTATTTTATAATTGAGTTGTATTTAAATTTAATAGTAAGTTAAAAATAAAATAATTAAAATTGTAGCTTGATTTGTTTGATTAATATTATACTATTATGTATAGTAAATAACTGAATTATTTATCAATAAATTTGAATTATTATGTAATAAATTACTCAGTTTTTAAACTGTTTATAACAAACATATTATTATATATATGATTAGACTAATTAGAGTAAATATACAGCTATACCTACGTAATAAGTTTATTGCTACACAATGGTTTATATAGAATATGAAATTGTTCTACCCCATTCAGATCATCCAAATGGACTAAATGTAAAGGTACATTCAGCCCGTCAGGCATTCAGCTACATGTACACTATTCATATTTTATTTAGGCAACAATATTAACCATAATACGTCCACAAAAATAAAAGATAGAGACGCATAGTGTATAACACGTTCTATTTGCTATCAAGAATAGCTATATTATATTATTGTTATAGCATTAAAATGTTTGATAAAATTCACGGACTAAGATAATATAATGGACTGGCAACTAGCAGCTTATCACGGCCACGAATGTATGTACAAAAGGCAAAGTGCGGGAGGTCGCAATGTGTTCCTAGATTTTGCAGAGCCCTCTGTATAAAACACGGACTAAGATACAAATTGTGAAGCCAAATAAAACCACCGGTAGCGCTGAAAACTTCAAGAACAGTATTCTTATCAGCTAACTGACACCTTTTCGTGGCCGTCCCCCGACCAGTCGTTTCCAGTTCATTATAATATTATCTTGGTCCGTGGTAAAATTGAATATAATATACAATTATACAATATACATAATATAACCATTTATAAATTAAAATGTAATCAGTAATAACTCGCAAATCAATTTGATAATGCTAATGTGTTTAATGTTTGGCAGTTATACTTATCGTGAAAACTGGTATCCACACTGTTAGCCTTATTAATAATAAGTTATTATCATTACTGAACATTTTATTTTAAAAACAGAAGATTAGCTTTCGGACGTGGTATACATGGTATAATTAATAATATGCGACAAAATCATATTTTGCTGCTATAGTTGATTCAAATATATTATTATAATATTGCTTTGTGGGTTTTCTAATTGTTTTACGAACGAGATATTTTCTTGCTATATTCTATAATGTCTCACGGTGTAAGAAAGAGCGCCTGCAGAAATTATCAACCGGGGGGAGGGAGCAAACTCAAAAATCTCTGATAATCTGATAAGTGACAACATAGGCACATACCACTTAATATTATTTTGTTTTTACAAGTAATAAAACAATTAATATTAACTAAATAGCTTAGGGCTAGGCCCTCAGCACGCCCATGAGGGGTACGTTTATTATTCTAGATTCTAGACCAAAGCCGTTTTCACCGATATAGGATGTATCGTTGGTAAAAATATTATGTTGACGCGACGTATTAACTAGAGTACCCATAGGCGTGCGCAGACCTTGCTGGCAGGGGGGGCAGAATGTAATAATGTACCTATTGGTATATTATATAATATATAGGTAAGTAAATATTATTTTGGTTATTAGTTCAATTAATGTAAGTGATGGAAGTATTTTCATTTTATGTATCATTAAAACTACAAATAACTACAAATTTAATATAGTAATTGAAACTCCAAAGTTTTTTTATATTATATTAATATACATGAACAAAGAAAATTATTACATTCATACAGTGGTGGATCCAGGGGGATGGCAAAGGGGGCATTTGCCCCCCCCCCAATAACCGTAGTTTTCCTTTGTTTTACACTGTGTTTAGCTAATTTTGGAACTTTCATATACTTTTGAGACCCCCATGCCCCTCCCAAAATTAAGCCCTGGATCCGCCACTGCATTCATATATATTTTTATG